TACTGGGAACAGTGCTAACCCAATAGCAAACAACACCTTTACTGAAAAACCTCACACAATGTAGCACTTTCACTGTTTCACTTTCTTCAGTGTTCATGCAAGTCATATAAACATACCTAAACTCAATTTGGATTCTGAACCATCAATTTAAATACAACTTGTGAGTGTCTTTTAGCTAATTTATGTTATCTAGCTAATACTGAAAAAGAGTTCAAAAGCAGAGAAATAAATTGGTTGAACAATCACAGGAAATATGTGCAAAATCTGAAGCTGTACCACATGGAGTGTCTCTCCTGGTGTTGGAATTCACTTCACACCTGAGACGTACCTGATGTCGGATCAGTCGGGTCCCAGCCCCTCAGCCTGTTCAAGGCTCGGGGGCAATTGGCAGCAAAAACACCGCTCTCTCTACCAACTCTCTGGCAACAGTCAACTTTTCTCTTATCTGGTTGATTCCCTTGTCCTCTCCCATCCACTGCCATTAGATCACATGACTAGTGTGCAGGCAGGAGTCACGAAATTTTTTTTTTACAACTCTGTAAGGGTGACAGGCTGGAGGTGGTACTGCTTACTCACAGTACAAATCCACTATTACCCATTTCATTTCTTTTTTAGATTAGTTTAATAGTTGTGTCTTGAGAATTCATATTGTAATAAATATATATATTTTCCTTAGCGTCAAATGTTAAATGTATATTAAAGTTAGTGTTACTGCGATACAGTTTAGCTAAGTAATAGAGATACATACACTTGAAAGACACTGGTTATTGTACACCTCAAAAAATAACTAAGAAAAATATAAGCTATTTAGATGTAAACATGTTTTAACCCAAATAGTTATGTCCATCTCCCAGTATGACTTTACATTTAGTACAAACTCCAGGGTCATTTTTGCAAAGCTATGCTGAAAATTTAACAGCAAAAATACCAACAATATGGGTCTACATGACACTGCTATGCTGAAGAAAAAGAAAAACAAAGTGTCGCTAAACAAAGGGGGAAAAAAACAAGAAAAAAAAACAAAGGTGGGATTCGGAGGTGATTGTTGGAGGGTGGATGGGTAGCAGAGGTCTGGTGCTCTGTCCTGCAGCAGTAGTGGGTATGTAGGCCAGAGTCCCAGGGCACATTTGGCTGGGGTGGGAACAGTTGTAGCCGACAGATTTGCCTCCATCTTGCCTGAGGTTCTCCCAGGCAGCGATCTGTCTTTTCTATCCATTCTCCACCCTGCAGGTTGAAACCACTACAGCCCCATTTAATAATCCTGATTGGAACTGACTGAAATCCTCCACTTAAGCAGAACTCTTAGGATGTGTGTAGGCATGCTAAACCTAATGTCACATCAAAACTGGACAAAAAATAAATAAATCACATTCAACTGCTCTCTTCTCTTCCATCCCCTATTTGTAACATTATGCAGACAATTCTATATGATTAGCTCTATCTATAACTGGCATGAACAGGAGCTGTTACAGAGTTTGTTTTTCTTTAACACTTCAGTTTACTGATGAACTTAATATGCCTGGGCCAGTTTGTCAACTGGCATTCAGTTACCAATATGATGACAACCCAAAACTATTTAAACCTCCTTGTGTAGAAGCAAACAGATAGTTGAATAGGCAATACCATCACAATGTGTTGTCTTAGCTCTGATGGTAAATAAACTGTCCTCAAACCTCCAAGGTCTACTGCCTCTACTTACAACTATAGAATTTGTCAGCACTTGGAAGTTCAATAGTCAATATCCATATTCGGAGCATTTCTACTTCCTTGTAATACTACATGAAACAACTGACTAAATATGGGCTTTAGCTTAAGAATACAGTAGAGACTTGGAGTGAAGTTGAAAGAAGAACAAAGGCACAGAGGAGTCAAAGCAACAGAAGAAGGATGAAGGACCATGTAGGTCTCAACAGATTGAGGTGGAGACAGTGTGAGAGCAGAGAACGAGGTGAGAAGGCAGGATGGCAGAGAGGGCACTCCGACAGCGAGGAGAGAAGAACGCAGCGAGGTCTCGTCACCGGGCCAACGGGCCCACCACTGTCAACATCATGGCACTGTGTGGTGCGCACACATACACACACATGCGGCTGGCCCACGGCCCTCCCAGCTGCCCTATCCGTAACTGTCTGATTAGTTGTGCTAAGCAGCCCCTCCCCTGCCAACCATGGTGCCATCTGCTACCCAACAACATGGCTGTGGACCAGACAGGCACACACAGACACAAACGGACAGAAACACTGCTGAACACACACCAGCCTCTTACCTGGCACTGCTCTGCTGCTGTAACACAAAAACACACTAAACTTCACACACACAGGTGTAGCCCAAAGCTATCAACACTTAAGGTTTGCACAAAGGTAAGCACATGGGCCCAACTAATCGCACACAAGCGTTTGAGCAGCAAACATCCTCATGAAAGAGGCCTCTGCTGAGAGGGAGTGAGTGGGCCATGCTAATACCAGGTACAGACAAAGTGTGTGCCTTCTCACTGGCAGGGCAGGCAGGTTCATTAGGCCCCTGCCTCTTCGAGCGACCGCAGCCCGTGTGGTGCCCAGGCCCTTTTATTCCGGGCCGTGATTGGACAAGGGCCTCCTGCCGAGTTGGTTTGCAGCAGTTTTGTCGCGCCCAGATTTGACTCTACTCAAAGTGAGCCTCTGGCGGGACACGGCATCTGTTGCCTCACCTTCCTCATTTACACTTCTCCGCCCTCACACACCGCCTCTCCAGACCTCGCCAACACCAGCTACAACTGAAGGAGACACAAGGAGAGGGCTGGACTGAGGCAAGTTTGTGAAATTTAAGCCCTACTTTACAATACTTTCAAATGTGATTTTACCTGATCAAATATTTATAAAAACATATTTATTACTAAATCTTTTTCTTTGGTGCTCATATCTATTAGGCTACGACCAATCTTTTTCCACTGTGTCAGAACAGAGGCAATGAGCACAATGCTGGAACTAAATGGTGATGTGCAAAGAACTTGGGGAAAGCATTTTATCAGTAAACTTTTAAACTAGAGATAATTTAGATTCAAAGTCTAACACAAGCTCTAAAAAGGCACCTCATGAACATGAATGCTCAATTTCATGGAGGATAACAAAACCTGTGGAAGATTGTGTTCAGAGTCCAAAACACCAAAGGGATGAACAGGTCTGGGCGATCCTCGGCTTCCCTGACGCATACAAACACACATTCCTATTTATCTGGCATGTGTTGAAACTGAAGTTATGCTGGCCACTTTTCAGTGGAGCCTTTGGGATGCATGATCACAGCAGAGGGAGAGAAGGCCGGGTGGAGACTAGCAAAGTAGAAATGAAGGAAAAGCAAGAAAGACAGGAGCAAACAAACAAACCAAACTGTGTAAAGCCCGCTGCTGATCAGGGCCGAGCCTGAAGAGGAAGTGTGTGTGTGTGTGTGAGCCCATGTGAACAGAGTGACGAGGATTAGCACAGATCTGGGCTGTCCAACTCACAGCTGGCTGATGATCCAATCCTGGAGCGCAGCGCAGCACACCAGTCGCCATGGGACCGGCCGACGCAGGCCTGCATCTGTGCGAGTGTGGACACATGCGCTCGGGTATGCATATGGTACTACCAGTGATGTGCATTTTCAGAGAGCACATTGAAATTCACACACTTGTACAAACACAACTAGTGCGAGCAAGTATTGTGGTGCGAGCTAGCATACCTTACACAAACTGGTTTGGTTGACAGAAAATGCTCAGGGATTTTATCAGCCAAAATGGAAGAATTATAATTAGGAACTTGTGAAAATGACAAGACATCTGAAAATCAGTTCCTTCCCAAAAAAAATACTGAGCATACATTATTTTTATTTGCATGAAAAACAACATGAGTATCAATACTACAACCATGTCACTTATATGTCATTCTACACAGCTGCCAATACATAGCACCAAGTCAACAAAATATACCTAAAAAAAGTATATAGGTGGACAAAATGTTAGCACTGTGTAGCTAACAGGCACACAAAACACTAAAACGAATCAAGCACACACATCTACAAGACATGGGGCTGACAGATCCAAACACACAGTACAAACTTGTGTCCCGTGGTTTCTATGACCACAGGGCACCACTGCCACATCTGTGCCTATCTCAAACACCTCAGCTTCGGCCAGCAGGGGTGAGAGAGTGCCCTGAGAGCCTGGCATGGGCTGGCATGGCCTTGGCAGTCAGTGATGTGCAATCAGCAATCAGCCACCAGATGATGAAAGACAAGTTTAAAAAGGACTACACAAGTGAGAAAGGATCAGTGTGCAAATCTGTAACAAATTGGGATGGATGAGAAACTAATGCAGGCTACTCATATATACATATATATATATATATATATATATATATATATATATATATATATATATATATATATATATATATATATATATATATATATATATATTTAAGTATCATGGTCAAAGCACACAAAGAGAGAACTAGTAGTTAATAAACAGAAATGGAGGTGACAAGGAGGGGAACCAGTAAAGCACAGAGAGAGCGGATGCAGGAAACTGGTAGGAGGCACTAAGGCCAGGCTGTCCAGTGACCATCAACCCACTGTTCACTGTGTGTGCATGGCAACTTGAGCCAGGGACAAAAAAGGCTCAGGCGCCATTTTGGCTCAACAGGAGCTGTTGCTGGGCTGGGCACTGTCCCGATAGCAGAGTGTTGTGTGTGCTGCATTATGTTGTGGCATGCTTAACAGGATTATAGGTGACCTGGTGAGGTCCAGTTGGTACCGGGACCATAGCACAGCAGCATGCGTGTGTGTGTTGTGTGTTTAAGTGTGTTTAAATGTGTTTATGTGTGTGTGCACACTATAATAGGATTAGGCGTTACCTGGTGTGCTACAGTTGGTGTGGTGGTCTGAACTGGACTGGACCGGACTGTGTTGGGCAGGGGCTGGGCAGAGGGGAGTGCTGTGTATGCCTGTGTGTATGTGAGTGTGGTGGCATGTATAATAGGATTAGGTACTACCTGGTGAGGTGCAGTTGGCGCTGGGCATTTGCCAGCTGTTCTGCTAGGCTCAGGGCTTCGGCCTGCCATTGGCTCCCATCCTTTTGGACCGCCTCCAGATGCTGCCGACAGCCAACCAGCTCCGAGTTCAACCTTTCCACTTCCTGTCCAAAAGAGAGGGGGAAAGAAGGTTAGAATACCCATCACAACAACTTACCTTATGATCTCAGATGAATCCAGTCAAAAGGCCATTGAGGATTAAAATTTAAAGGTTAAGCAGCATGAACACATCAAATCCAGCCTTTAAAAAAACATGTTAAAAGCACAATCGTGTGTTTTGCTAATTAAATTCTCTATATGGTTTCACATTCAAATATTTAAGTTTGGTGGTGATGAGCTAAATGCCTTCATTATGTGGGCTTAAATGTAAGAAAAAGTTTTTTCCTTTTGTTTCACAGTTGAAAATTAAAAGTTGGAGGATTAACAGACCTGTGCAGCCTTCTCTATCTGTCGGTGTGTTTTAGCAGTGAGATCTCGGAGTTCTCGCTCTGCCTCCTCTTTCTTCAGCAGGGCTTGGCTTAGCTGGTATCGCAAATCCACATTCAGCTAAGAGGTGACAAATACAAGCTACTAAACACTCTTTTTATAAACATTTTTAACACATTTCATTCCACTACATTACATACCATACAACTGCAATATTCCAAAGTAAACAATCAAGTTTTTTTCACTTTACTTAATATAATCCATTTTGCTTAGCCAAAAATAATTTCACCATAAAAGAATACGTACAATTATTGTCTTTGTTGTAATACTTAATTCAAAATGCCTTTACAGATAGATATTACATTTGAATGTACTTAAACATACTACTGTCAGTATGAATATGGACAAACAGCCACTTACAAAGCAGTCCTTAGGTGCCATCTAGTGGCATTTTTAAAGCATTACCATAGTTTAAAAATTTCACATTTTACTACAGATGGATGCAGATGTATTTACCCTGGTGCTGTCTTGCTCCTGATTAGTGAATTTGCGAACAGTGTCATCCAACTGATTGGATAATGAGGTCTTATCTCTGCTTGCTCGGTCTAGCTGCCCTTCCAAATCAGCCAGGCGTTGGGTTAGATTAGAAACCTAACAAAAAAATACAATAAATTTCACCTCTTTTGTTCATCATGAAAGTTTCTCTATAGCTCTTACTGTTTTTGTAAGCTCTTCTTTCTGTTTGCGAGACTCAACTCTGCCCTCTTCTCGAGCTTCACTCAGTCTCTGCTTTAGGCCTTGTCTGTCTCTTTCTAGTTGCTCCCTCTGTCGCCCCAACTCTCGTGACATTTGTTCACACTGCACCTCTATCTGCACAGATACAATCAGACAGGCATTGAAAGGATAACTTCTGAAATGACATATGTAATCTGTTAAATGTAATAATTTTGTAAAGAATATCTAAATGTGTAGTATCTTTTTCTCACCCTTGCTTTATGGAGATTTGCTTCTTCAGCCATCTCTACTGCCTGCTTAACCTGAAGACAAGCGGACCACTCCCTCTGCTGTGCCTCCTGCTGACTGGCACGTAATGTCTGCAGAGCCAAGAGCAACTCATCCCGTTCCCTACAGTGCAGTACAAAAATTTTAAACAAAACAAATACAGCAACTAGAGACCAATTGTAGGATGAGCAATGTTTCTAATACTGTACTGACTTTGTCAATCTTTCAATAGCCTGGACATGTACATGTGAATGTGTCCCAGCCAAGACAGCTTCATGTTGGGCACACTTGAGACACAAGCCTGACACATGAGGCACTCCATCAGTTTTGGTGGCATGGGCTAACTGCTTTTCTTTGTGTCTCAAATGAACTCGGACTTCCTCACATTCTTTTTGAGAGGCTGCCAACTCTTTCCTGTGCCATGAAAAGAGAAGTGTTTAATTCGTTCAAGAAACAACTGCATGTAGAATAGTGAGTGTAAGATTTACCTGAGAGAAATAACCTGAGCCTCTAAACTTTCAGTTTGAGCTACATAAATAACCTTTAGTTGTTCCTAGAGTAAAAAAAGTGTATTATTCATTACAATTATCATTATGCAAATAACAAAAAGTTTTATCCTTTGCATACCATCTCATTTTCCCATTTATTGGAAGACATGCCGTCATTCACCTGGAAAAAAAAACATTAAAAAAGAGTACAAGAGAGCAGTTTACAAAGGTGTAATTATACTAATACCGTTGTCTGTATAGTGAAATCTTTGAGTGACTCCTCTGCTCTAGATTTGAGTTCCGCCTGTAACTTCTCATTCTCCATCACAACCACCATCACATGTTGTTTCATCCCCTGAAGCTCTTCCTGAATACGAAAAACCATAAATAATCAGACACTGCATTACATCTAATAAGCCTGATTTATAATAAAAGCATAAACTTACTTTGCAGAACTTTACTTCTGCTTCCAGGTGCTGAATATAATCTGACTGGTTGTGGATCATTGGGACCAGATCCTGAACAGTGTGTATACTGGACCTGCCCTCTTGTGGGGCTCTCTATGAAAAATTTTGCAAATACTTAAAATACTAAAAAAAGTGGATATAAGTAATCAGCAATAAAACAATTAAATAAATAAAAATGAAATTAAGCAAAAGATGTTCATTTTGTCTTCTTATATACTTTAACTTCTTGGGTTCTTTTTAAAGACAATGCAGTAAAGTGTGTTTACCTTGTTGACATGTTTCGGCTGCTAGCTGCAAGCTGCAAGCCATCTTCAGAACTGTCCAGTTCTGAAGATGGCTTGCAGCTAGCAGCCGAAACATGTCAACAAGGTAAACACACTTTACTGCATTGTCTTTAAAAAGAACCCAAGAAGTTAAAAAAATGAAATTACATCATTACAAATTAAATAAATAAAAATAAAATTATATCTTGGAAGTGTAAGTTATTCACTATCCTATTATACTATACCCTGGGTGGAGAATGTCTCTTTGAAGCAGGAATCTCTTTGACTTGCTTGAGAAGAAGACTTTTTAGCTGGTTAACTGTAAGAACAAACATATGGAAATGTGAGTAAGAGATTATCTAAGGATGAGCCCACTTTAAATCTGATGTAGACTTTGGTTTGGTCCTGTTCTAGTCCTGGTTTAGGTCTAGTCAAGGTTTAGTTTCAGGTTGGGTCACAGTTTGGTCCTAATTCTGGTTTTGGTATAGTCAGTATTGGGAAGTAACTGAATACATGTACCAAAAATACTTATTCTGAATACTAATTTTGAGTGCCTGTATACCAGTACAGTTACTTTTTAATTAGGTGGTATTCAGAATACACTTTCCTAAATTAAAGGGAATAAATGCTGGTACTCCATCATGCATGCAATGCATGTAATGTGGCTTTAAACTACACAGGATTAGTGAAAATAAAGACAACAAAGCTCTTGCAATGCATGCATGTGTGGTTTTCTGTCTTTAATTACACTATAATATAATGCAACTTGGTGTAAAAGAATTCAGAGTATTCAGAATACAATAGCCTGACTGGACCAGTACTGGAAGTACAAATATTACACCATGCATTGGAACTACACATTTCAATGGAGGTATTCAGTATTCTCTAACTAAATACATTTTCAAAGTATTTTTCCCATTACTGCTAAGCGCAATTGTGAACACTCTCTAAGATGTCAAATCTATATTTTCAAACTCACCTGCTTCACTCTGTGTTTTCTGGCTCCACTCAATCTTAGCATCTTGTAGAAGGAAAGCACCTCCCTCACTGCCCCTGACGATCGCCTCCTGCTCCGCTTCAGCAAAGGGACTGGGCTTTTCCAGAGCACTGCTGAGCTCCTGGATGCTCTCATTGGCCCTCTCTAAAGCCAAGCCACACAGAGCAAATAACAGCAAGGTAAGCTCACGGAGTTCATTTGCTTCAACATGCTTTGTAAAAAATGTAAGTGATAAAATAATCTAAAACTACAGGTGTGATGGTGATGATGATGATGATGATGATGATGATAACAATATTTAGAACCACGAATCACAGTAAAAACAATTCAATACAACTAATTAATTTTTACCATGTTATTGTACGGGTCAGGGTTTAAGTTTTAATGAGCACGCAAACTGTCTTTTAACAGGAGCAGTTACGTTAGCACACGTAGTCTCGTGATAATAATGCCGTAGTAACTTTCCAAACTTACGCCGTACTTCTTTTTGATATGCACCAGGTTGCTCCGCATCCTCTTCATCCGAATCTAAAGGTTTCATCTTTGTCAGAATCGTGTTAAAACAGCTACAAGTGTTTATTTAGTGCTAGGCTAGGTGCTGTCTCTCTACTACAGCCATGTCTCAAACGGAGCACCGAGTGTCACGTGAGGAGGGGGCGTTTGTTTTCTACACCGCAGTTGTTGGGGTGTCCGCCCACCGCGCAACAGGCTCAGGATGTTAACATTATCTGTGTGTATTTTTAGATATTTTATTGCGTTATATCTTGGTGACTCAACTAAAAATTAATTCAGAATTTTAAATGTATCGTATATATAATCCTATGATCATGACATGTAAATTGAATGATTATAATCCTAAACTTTATGGCACCCTCTAGTGGTACAATTCACTAGTAGCTAGACAAAAAAAGATTTAAGAGGTAATTTTATCAGTCAGTTGCAACAGTAAAACAGTACAGTACAACATTTGACATGAGCATTTCCAGTCTTGTGATTTGAATTACTTAAAATTAATCTTTTGTGACACAGGGGTCAGAAAACGGGTTTTTAAACAGATTTTGTAACAGCTAGAAAAATATTATTTTCAGTGAAGCATTGAAGCTCTATTACTCTATTCCACTATTACTCTATTATCATGTGGCTGTTGAGGACACAACAATTATTTGTCCAAATGTTTAGCCATGTTTTCTGTCTTTAGGTCTTAAGTTAAACTGAAAGTAATTTGTTGTAAATTTAATTAATTTGGTGTTAACTCATGAAGTAACATAAAATGAAGAAAAAGCATCAAATAAAAATATTCTGTTTGCGTGTAGTGATAAAAGCCTGATTGCAGTTTCTCACTGAAGCATTCCCTAGTGAAATAGTGCAGTCTGCAAATGAATGTGTTTGCATAGCAGGGTATTTCCAGGAAACCACATCAGTGTTATGTGTGACTGTGGTAATGGCTCTAGGTTGTTCAAATGCCTACGCACTAGTACTCTGCTGTTCCACTAGTGCTAAATGTCACCACTGACTTATTCTATATATATAATTATTACACATCTCCAACACTGGCAGCATTCCCCACTCTAAACTCCCCCGCCTACTTCACTCTGCATTCAAAATTACTTAACATGGAAAGGATTTAACTTCAAAGGACAAAAATTTGTTAATTGAGAATATTTTAGGAAAAAAAAAAAACACCTGTCCAAAACAAATGTCCAAAGAAAAAGGGCACAGAGTAACTCCTTACAACCCAATATGGTGTTATAATATATGTAATATAATATAATATATATAATATATAATATAATATAAGATGCCCTCTACAGCATCAAATGGACCTCAAATTTGTATTAATTATGTAATACATAGCTCAAAGCAAGAAAGAATCACATTAGACTGATATTAGATTTCTTAATAAAAATAATTCATTTCAGGACAACATATAAATAATTGAATCACACAATACAGATCTTGATATGAATAAATACTTAACAAATAAAACCAGCCTTTTTTCATACAATACCCTATTGTCAAAAAATCACACAAAGAAAACTTCCACACGGTTTGCATGTTTTGTTACACCTTCTGTTTTTCTGCGGATGCTTCTCCTACTATTGGAATGTCCCTAAGCAAGTCAGAGTACCATTCCTAAATGCCTCAGCAGCTTAGACAAGTCATGTGCAACTTATTTGATCCCCTCCCAGTCAAATTCAGTCAGAGCCCTGAACCCAAAGAGCCTTGGGCATCTGGTGAGCTGACCACCAATTGGCCTTTAATTGATTAAGGTTTACCTAGAGGTGATTAAAGCACACAGAGTTCTACGTACAGGCCACAAGAACATGGGCTGGCCCGACAGCTTCAGATACAGATAAATGAGAAGGCAGAAGAAGGCCTAAGCTGTCTACACTTGTGTAACTAGAGCCTCAGATGGACATCTGCCTACAGCAGTAAAAAGTAAAATCTTTAAACAAAACAACTGAATTTGTGGGTGGCAAGGTTCTCAGTAGTAGTATTTCTTATTCATCAAAGTGTCCATTGGAGTTTTGTATTATTATTTTTTGGCAATCATCCAAGGACGTAGAGACAGTAGTTATATTAGCGATGTCAACCTAAGCTTCTCTAGTTAGTGTAGAATAGGCCAGGCTGTTTGTTTTTAAGGAGGTAACAACAATTATGACTGATGGCACATGTCTTTTGAAACACATTACAATAAAAATGCTAAAATGTCAGAAGAAAATAAGAAATGTCAGTTGTCTCCTAGCTGCACACATGTGCAATGTGAATGTATGTATATTAGAGATGAGGCAACGTGTTAAAGGTCCAAGAGTATGGACCGAGATCCATATTCACAAAGCATTTGATAAGCGGGGGCACTGATCCAGGATCACTGATCAGGCCCCTCTGGTCCATGAAGGTTGAATTACTACTTAAAGGCAAAACTTATCGAGGATCAGCCCCAATAATGTGCTGCAATAAAGCAGCACAAACACATTCAGATAAAGCAGACAATGGGATTGCTGTCTGAAATTTCAAAAGTGTCGCCTTGGCACATCCAGTGGGTGGAGCAAAGAGATTAAGTTTGCTTACATCACCTCTGGCTAAGGTGGGGCGCATACAATCTCAAAGAGCTGTGTTTATATAAATGTGTCGTGTGTAGTGGGTGGCGGTTGCAGTGTCCAGTAGTGAGAGCCTTGTTTGTGCATAATATGTATAAATGTGTTTCTAAGTGCTCGAGTGGTCAGTAAACAAGAAAACAAGGACCAAGGCAACAGATTAGTTTTAGAGGAAAAGGGAAATAAGAGGAAGTATAGGCGGAATAGAAAGATGAGTCTTGTCTCCACTGTGTCCATCAGCATATTGGCTACAATGAAGAGGCTTGGAGTTCTGTACATGTAGCACCAAAACTAGCAGGGGCCTGCCCTGTCTGTCTTGCACATTTCAAAGACTTGTGGTCTTATGTTTTGTTCCTTATCAAGTAAAAACATTTTTATCACAAAAATCTATGAAATAACAATAGTAGATTTTTTGTCAAAATATAAACTAATACTATCATTGCTTGTCAATTGGAAGAAAAATATTGTATTTGTTAATTTTACAAGAGTATTTTTGGCATTAGTATTTTGGAACTTTTCAAACTAAAATGGAGTAGCTGAGCCAACAATGTCAATTGTCATTTGAATTCTTTCAAGCCCTTCATTGAAAAGAAAGTTCAAGCCCAGTTCCCTCCTGCTTTCCTCTCTCCATTAGTCTGTTTCTGGGCATCCAAAGCTGCATCCCTCGCTCTCCAGAGCAATGCTAGACAGACAGGCAGACAGATACACAGATGTATTAGGACAGACAACAATCAAACTGGGGTATAAATCCTTGGCTGTGGTCTAGAAAGCAATGTCAGATGCTTCTTGTTATGTCAACATACAATCATTTTGTCCGGCACGATGTACTACGTACCTCTAAATACATATTGTACACTAAAGTCAGTTGCTGACATGTAGCCACACCTCTCGTCGTGTGCATGCACACGGCACATCAGATGATAATTGCACAAAGAGGTATTCTGGAGGCCATGTCTAATGTTAACACACACACACTCACCTCCTCCCCATGTACATACACGCTTTCTTCACATTCTACATGGGGGGTGGATTTTAGGCCATAAGGTTACTAGTAAGTCACTAGCTAGTGAGTTGGTTAGTTAGTATCAGAGGTGCATTGACTGGCATAAGTGCGGCTCTAGCGTGCTAGCGATGTGTCATCATTGTTGCTTATGTGATCAGCCACGATAAATCTGTTTAAAGTGGTCACACTCGTTGCAGTAGCCCTGTTTCTCTTGGTTAGCGTAGTGGTCACAGCCCTGTGTCCGGCATCGCTGCTTGGACTTTTCCTTGGGCGCCTGCGCCCGTCTACCCCCCTCTCGGCCCTGGCCGCGTGTGTGACACTCCGGACAGAGGTCTGTGCACCCCGGGGACACGTTACTGCAGCCACTCCTACGGCACTGTGTCTGCGTCTGCGTCTGAGATTGCTGTGAGGATCTTGGCTTAGTAGCACGGTCACGCTTTTGAGAAAAAACAGAAACACAAAGAAAATATTTTAGATATGTTTTGTTTTTATAATTTTTTTATATATGATTTTTTTTGGTTGCAATTCATAATAATTTGAAATTAACTAGTATTGTATATGACAAGCTGGTTCTTACCACGACGAGAGGAGGAGAGTGGGGTGTGCGATGCGCCGCTTGGTTGAGCCGGGCGCTCTGCTCTTTGACGTAGCACTTGTCGCAGTAGCCCTCAAGCATGGCCTTCCCAACTGCCCCGCAGCCAGGGCCACGACAGCGAGACGCATTCTGGAAACCTGCCTCCAAACCATGCCGGCTTTGTACAGGGGCAGGGGGCGGAGTCAGATCTTGACACAACAACAAAAAGATACTGAGTTCATTTAAATATCTATTAAATTGTTGTAGTAAGAACACAAATTGAAATTTACTTACGGTGGTTAGTTTGATAGTCTACGTAGCAAATAGTGCAGAAGCCCAACTTCTCAGGCGTTCCAAAGAATTGGCAGCCTGATCTCTTACATGGCCTGGCCAAAGGGGTCTGCCAGGCTGACGTGTGTCCCGGAGTAAGGGTGAGGCATGGCCGCTCCGCATCCCTGGCTTGACTCCACGCTGAAGAGGAGGCCTCAGTCCTTGAGTTGTTCTGCTGTGGCTCCCCTCTCTCTGGAGCCTGTTGTCTCTGCATGCAAGGAGGGCACAGGCCATTGAATATCCTGAATGCCTCCTGTCTACACATGCTGCAGCGCTCCGCTTCGGTCTCACGACCTCCCCACTGAGTCCAGCCAGGGCCCTGGGCCGAGTGTGGGGCTATAGGCCCCCCATTAGAGCAAGGAAGTCCTGCAGCTGCTGTTCCTACTGCAGGGGGAGCATGGTTCTGCCTGGAGTTGAAGCAGCGCTCACATAGTCCGTCATGCTCCACACTCAGGGTGAACAGGCAGCCTGGCGTTTTACATTTCATGGCGTGGGTTTCACTGTACAGGCTGAGGCTGGGGGCTGTGGGCGGGGCTGAGCGAGGGCTGGACAGCACCACCCCTCTCCCAGAGGAGGAAGACGGTGGACTGCTGCTTCTGGCTCCTCTGGAGCTCACCTCATTTTCTGAACCTTGTATACCTCCACCCTTGGCTTGCACCACCCCCTCTATTCTGGCCCCTCCGCCTGTAGCCTGCCGTTTCTCAAAGCACTCGTGGCAATGGGGCTGCGTGTCCACAGAGACATAGAAGGTGCAGCGTGGAGTGGCACACCGGATTTCAATGAGAGACAGCTGAGAAACAGAGAAAGGTGGTGGACGTTGTGGCTGGGCAGCCCAGGCTTGTTCTTTGTCTTCTTGCCAACGCTGGTACTCATGGTTGACCAGCTGCAGATAGTCTTCCATCAAGTTCATGTCCTCAGGAAGGTTGCCCTCATCCAGCCTGGGACAAAGATTTATAAATGTGTTTAAAAGAATGGCTATAAAGCAGTATTAAAGCAGACAACATGTTTAAGTACCGTGCTGCATTAATGATGCGAGTAGCATCATATCCCAGGCCAATTACAGGGATCTCTATTAGGAGCAGGTAATCTTTGAGAAGTCTTTCCTTCTGTTGCTGTTCCTTCTCCATCAGAAAGTGAACCTTGAGTTCCTCAAATCCTCCTCTGCCTGGGTTGATCAGTGGCACAGCTCTAATCTCTGTCAATTTAAGAACACAAAACAGTTTTACACAAAGACTACATGTAGGCAATATATCATCAAAAAGATAATATCAAAATTGTTGATCTGACGATATGCTGTATTGTCAACCATAGGAAAACTGTAAAAAGTCTGCTAAAAGAGTTTATAAAAAGAACAGATATTTTCTGTGAAATACTATTAGGGTATAATTTGATATTTTTGCACTTTTGCATTTAATTCCATTCATTTTTCATCCTGTACTATGCTAGAACCTGATTATTTTTATCCAGATAATACACAAAAAACTGAGACAATGTTCATAGCATCCACCTCATTTAAAATGCTACAACTTCAATATATGTTTTTTCCTACCTGGACCACTGTCTTTGATGGTGATGAGGGGAGCAAAGTGCTGAGAGTCATAGCCGAGTACTATGGGATACTTGTAGCATTCAGCAGGTGGCCAATGCAGTGGAAGATATATTCCACCCACATTGAGTGGTGAGATAGAGGAACCTGACTTCATACTCCTCACCACCTGGTCTGTAACACAAAGGTGACAAGTCTGAAGATACTGGAATACAATGGAACCTGTGGATTATTGTGAGGGAAGAGAGTGAATTCATTATTCTTGCAGGTGTAAATTAAAATTGTTATGTGGGTATATATATATATATATATATATATATATATATATATATATATATATAATATATATATATATATATATATATATATATATATATATATATATATTATATATATATATGAGGGTAAGACTCTGACTACTGATGCAGATGAAAGAAAAAACACCTGCAATGACGATGATAGGTCTGCGAAGGATGTTAGAGAGGATGAAGATGTGAATGTCTTCCAGAGAGTCAAACTGAAGGCCGTTGCTAGTAGAAACGGGTGATGCCATCTTGACAATCTTTTCCCATTCTTCCTCCCAGTTCTGAAACAAATGCAGAAATAATGTTAACAATGACAAATTCTGCATAAATAATTACATTAAATCAGAGGTCATTTTAGAGGATGGTGTAAAGGAGTGTTACAGTCCTTCGTACCATGGTGGTGTATCTTAGCCCAGTCTGGGTAAACTCCTGGGACTGAAGGAGCTCTGCCTGAAAGCGAGCTTTGAAAATGCCAGTGTCAGTCTCTTTCAAGACACTATGGAGGGCTTTTCGGAGCACGAGGTCTGTGTCCTGAACACCCAGCATGTATTGAGAGGCAGCATGAAGTAAGCAGTTCCCATCCCCTGTGGATAGAGAAAACAGTAACATTTTAATTAACAAGATACTTAACTCATACCGCTAATACATATGTGTGTATACTGCACATAACAGATAGCCATGCATGGGGATTTCCAGGCTGCTGCCACTTCTTATGTCTAGCTAAGAGGAGCATAGCTAACATAATTCTGGTGCAGATAAAGAGCTATTACTATTACTTTTGGGCAATAAAACAAAAGAGACATTTCTGTGCAACTATGAATTGCACAATATATGTAGGTACATTGAATTGTGTCAGCTGTTGCAAAGATTGGCCTTTTTGTTATTGTGAAACAGGAGCCATGTTTATGAACATAGTCTGAAATACCCTGTTGTAGCTGCTGCTCTAAACACAGGAATTTCCCTGCACTTACTTCTGCCTTTTGTGTGTGACTGTTCCTCTTCTCTGATCCTGCTCATCAATGCTACTCAACTGCTCCTGGACTTTCCACAGGGGCAGGGCTTGGACCGGGTGGAATGTTATTTTTGAACAAATGTTACCAGTGGTTGACGGCGATTGATGCATGCTAAATTGTGACTAATTTCACCAAATGACTCCCTTGGCATCTCCCCATGCATGCAACTTTTTATTAAACATCCCTTAGCTTTTATTTGACAACATTTTAAGTAAAAATTTGTACTCTGATCTGTTTGAAAAGAGTAATACATAAATTGCTGATGACAAAATGAGACAGACATGTGGGTTGTTTTTGATGATGACACAGGACAAAAGGAGAAGCAGATTTAGAAGATGCAGTTATGTTATGAACAGACACTTCTAGTTCATTAATGTTAAACTGAAGAGCAGAACATTTACTACAGATTAAGGATTCCTTCACTTCTCCTACTTGTTTCCGAGGTTGCAATTCCATTCACAGTTACAAAAGCTCAAGCTACAACTTAGCTGGGAACAGACTGACTCCATTAAATTAGTCATTTTGTCATGTGATAGCCAGTCCTAACAATGGTGTTGCCTGTAGGGGACCGCTGTATTAAGTGATTTGCTTGTTTTCACTGGTGTCATGGTACATCCTAGTGCAAGGGTGGATACACAAAATCTGCTCCATTTCACACTACCTAGATGTAGTTGCATTTCAACACTCTTGCATCACGTCAACAACAACATCAAAATGAGCAGCTCTCAAGTGAGAAAAGGCATCCTCAAAAGCACAGAGCACACAACTACACAATCACAGCAGAACAATACACTTATTTTTGACTCTGCTGAAAACTACAGATGAAAGACAGTCTCAATAGTCTAAATATAGATACTTCCTCTGTGGCGAGCTTCCAGATAACATTGCCAGTGTAGGAAGCAGTCATTTTTCTCCAGTTAAGTTTACAGGTGAGATACATAATCCACATTTCTGCATTACTGGGCTGCTTTTGACCTATAATGACCAGCCCCCATAGGCAGGTGTCCGGTCTGTAACATGTGATACTGCTAGTGCATGACTTGTGTATTCTCTAGTTTGTGAAAAAAGCAGGGAATCTTTGTGTAGAGTGATCAGCTGTTTGTTGGTGGCTTTGTACAGTCAGTGGGTCATTGTTGTCTAATACATCTAGTCTGTTGGGGACACATGACGCACATGGGATGCAGTTTGGGAAAAACCCATGGATGTATCCTAGACATTTAAAACAGAGGATGCACTGAATTTCAATAAAGTGCTACTACTCAGGCAGAAAAGAAGAGTGTTTAATTTTGTACGTGTTTTATTAGTTTGTTGATTTCAGAGGTCATGTGGGGTTCAGAGTTTCTGATAGCTGTGATATACCAGGGTGTTTTTGGAAGAAGACAGAGCGATGTCCCAAATGTGCACAATTTGAGTCCTCTCTGGTCTGTATCAGTCTGTGTTGATGTGTGTGTCTGTTCCAGTGACTCAGCAGCCATCAGTCAGCCCTGTGCGTGTATGTGTGTGTGTGTGCGTGTGCGTGTGTGTCTTATGGGGACAAAAGTTAGGTCCCCATGATGTAAATGCAATATTATTAGATAAACAACATGATTTAAAGTCCAGTATGTGAGCTGGAAGAGCTTATGATTAGGTTAAGGTCAGGCAAGTAGCATACATGGATATGGTTAACATCAGTCTCCAGGAAATGAATGAGTCAATATATTGTCCCCAATAAGGATGTAAACTCAACATGTGTGCTTGTGTGTTGTCCTCTGCCCAAAGTCGCAGTCCTTTTGGAGATGATGTTGATGCTGTTTTTTAACATCACAGTCACATGTCAGGAAATTCAAAGTTGGTTACTGGCAGTACAAAGCAGACCTGTTAGTCAGTTAGGGGTCTTCTAAAGAGGAACTAGGATTATTAAGTTACAGTAAATGTGGTCATAACCATTTCCAGCAGGTTTCTATTCCATTATTTTTCTTTTTTCCTTTCTATTTAAAAAAATGCTAGTACTATAATTCACAGCACAAATTACAATGCCTCATTGAAAATGAAGTTCTGTCCTTGATTACTTCTGCTTCCTTTTTCTATTTTACACCATTGCTTATTGAACAGCTTCTGAAAAAATGACCCTGAATGTACACCAGTATATTTATTATCTCATGGTCCAATAAACAAATTACTTTAAACAGGGTTAATTTAGTCTTTTACATTAGAAGTGTATAATAATTCCACAGGAAAAGTAAGCCAAAGAATTCAAGCAGAACTTCAAACCCATTTCAAATGTTATAAAGTGACCTAACCTCCACGCACTCACCTACACAGAAACAGAGGGGCATGCCCCGTTAAGCAGCAGATCGAAGGTTGTGGAAACATAAACTGTCAATGAAAGCCCTAAAGTGACGACTGAGAATTTCCCAGAACAAACCTAAAATCAACTCTAATTGTTTGTCTGTCTTGTTCCTGAGTTCACGCATCAGAAAACATGACTTAGCAATACAAAGGTGGCTGAGTAAAAACTGGGTGGTTTGTTTGGAAGATCTGAGAGCGGAACCCGGGTCCCCAAATTATTGTCACTTACAGTAATGCCATGTGTGAGTAATTTATACATCTCACAAGCCATGCTGATTGGGCTGACTCATGAAAATGTGCTCTTTCGCTCGTCTGAGAAAATTCTAACTGATGCAGCCAAAGCGATAAGCAGTAAAGAGATACAGACGCTATCGCTTTTGAGGTTGTTTAGCAAAACTCTCTGTTGGTGAGCAATAAAAATAAAAATAAATATTCTGAATGAACATGCATTTAGACAATACAATGTACAATTCACAATGTTGAAAAATTGTGAAATAAGAAATATGTAGAGCTTGTGACTCTAATACAACTTCCTGTATTTGGTGACTTCAGATGTCTCTGAGGTTGCTTCTCATTATTTTCTGTTACTTTTACAGAGTAATAGTAATAAAACATAAATGGCTGATTATGTCTTTGAATAATACTAAAGACCAATAACTCTAACAAGACAATGTGAACTGAACCACGAAGTGACCAAATTTGGTGATTATTAATGTTGCACAATAGATTATCTTAACCCAATGCACTAGTTGACATTTTCTCACCATTGGTACGGAGTGGCACCATCTTCTTAACCTCACGGCACCAGTTGAGCTTTTTCTCCTGCTCCAACGACGCCTGCATGGCCCTGTCCAAGATGGCGGCTTGGACCACCTCCCTAAAGGCCTGGGGGAAGTGGTTCATGGCGATCATCTCTAGAGTGTACCGGTGCATGCCTCTCAGGTGATGCATAAGACCACCACTCGCTGTAGGCTTGATCACGTCGTTGGGGACACGCTGGCGAATCTTGACGGCCTTCAGCAGATTGGACACAAAGAGAAATTTGGGGAGGAAGTTCTGACCTTGCGACATGGTGGGTGAAGAGGGGCCAGGTGGGTGGAAGAAGGGGAGGAAGAGGAGGAGGCCCAACACAGAACAATGTGGAAACTGTATGGGAAGAAGAGGAGAGGATTTGTTATTTTTATAGTAGAAAGTGACAGAAGGGGCCAATGGGAAATTTTTTGTGGAGTTTCCCCTGTCCTTAATGATTAAGTCTGTAACTCACTTTAATTTACACTTTGCTCTGGAAAGCACCCGACACACAATCATCTGAGACACACAATCATCTGAGATTTTAATGAACTGACTGGAATGTAGCCGTCAGTTTCATTTCAGATGATCAACACTGATTTTTGGTCTTTAAATTCGCTCTACAAAGACAAGTCACTCACTGTGCTCTACAGTAGGTCCTCTTATGACCACCCAAATCTTTGTTCTTTTATGATGTACACAATGTCAACACACAATCTCCTCTTGTTGATTATTTTAACAATGATTTTCTTTTCTGAGTTCTAGAACCATTAGGCACTAACATTGTAATAAATAGGACATAAACAGCGTGCATAGTGTCAGCACATTTGTACAGAGTGTAGTAGAGATGGTCGGCACACACAAGCCTAGAGTTGTGTAGACTTTGTAACTTGGCGGGGGCAGGCAGCTGCCAGTTAGAGCACACTGTTGTAACAGCGCTATAAGTTCCAAGCACGGCCATAACTCCAGCAGCAGCAGCAGGTGCACACAGCCGCGCTAGGCCATGCTAAAGGAGCTACTGAGCGGCATCATACTGCACACCACAGACACCTGGATAACACTGAGCGTGTTGGCAGAGATCAGTCATGCCCAAGAGGAACGTTGATGCTGCTTGGGCAGACAGACCGTGGCGCACTGGTGGAGGCTGCGGTTTAGCCTGGCTGGCTACACACAAAAAACACAATAACACAAGACTTTGCTGACGTTAAAGGCTTACGTAATTCCAATGACAACTACATTTGTAACAATATACGTTTAAAGAGTGCACCACTGCACGGTTTCGGAATTAGTGTAGTGGAGCCGATGGCCTTTTTGGTGGATTAAAAGCGCCTTATCCTTTTGCGAGTGACGTCTTTGTAAACAATGGCTGTCAAAGCCACTGTCGTGAGCAGGCTTCAAGCTTCCTCCATGTCCCCAGAAACACGAACAGATTAGAAGCCGAGGCCCAGCTGTGTTGTGGCCCGTGTGTCAGCCCCGGGATCAGAAATGCAGTCACATGGAGAGGCAGCTCACACAGCACGGCTGTCTTACCTGTGTAATATTTGTCGGGCTAATAACAAAGCCTTCCCGGATGCTCAGGCTAGTCCTCTCTCAGCCACTTCACTCAGCCTCACCGCTGCGGTCCTCGGCGCCATCCAAGCCTCTGTTTGCTTCACTATCGCAGCTAATTCAGAGACCTCGCAGTTTGCGAAGCCTTTCAAAAGAGTATGTACGTCCGCTTGTTGCAAAAAAGGAAAAAGCCCAGTCAAGGGGATTTCCACACAGGGACTTTCCGTCCACCCATTTTCTCTTCTGACTCGCAGTCATATGCCGCCAGGGGGCGCTCTGTGTGTCTGACTCGATACTGAACAGCACATCCCACCAATGATCCCACCAATGATCCCACCTACTGTGCACAAAGGAGCGTCACTGAGGGACACAGACAGGCCGCGTCATTGCCCATTTCATGAGACAGTCTCAGAGAGAAAGCGTGAACTACTATGAGATCAGCCCAGCAACATGAGTCAGGAAAATGAGAAAACAAATCTACAAAAGGTGCGAGTCCGCCCAATTTCTAAATATTAATTCCCACTGGCGCTAAACAAAAATCTGCCATTTGTGTTCTTTACCACTCAAATAGAAAATTAATGACAAGTCTACCTATGATTTGGAATAAATATGTTGTATAGGCTATGTGAGATGCAAAAATAAATAAATAGGCCTAAATAATAATCACAAATTGCAGGATGGGCTTTTGTCTATCCTATCTACAATAAAACAATAAATTTATTTTTAATAATATATATTTTTTTTTCTTCTTGCCTGTTTTCCAACATAAACAAAAGGCTTCGACAGAAGGAAACAAAAACCTACTCCGTGAGTAATTCAATTCATACAGAATGATCTCACCGCTCTGTCATACCATGCAGCGTCAGCAACACATTTTAACCTCTATTTATTTATTTGTTTGTTTGTTTATTTGTTTGTTTATTTATTTATTTATTTATTTGTTTGTTTGTTTCACATATCACTGTGGTTCACTCTGCTGGTGGTGTTAGTGTACCATGTATCATGTATGTATCATCATGTACCATGCACACAAATAGTGTATGTTCAAAGGCACGGGAAATTTAATTTAAAATACTGACAAAAAATATATATTACAGAAGTAATAAAAACACCCCTGACTGTCTTGTCGTGTACAGTGCATGGCGCGTTATAATTATACACAACAATACTAGGAAACTGAATCAAAACCTATCCAGAGCACTTTGAATTTATGTCGCTGCATAACGCGTGTGCTATAAAATAGAATCTGAAAAACTGCTTATAAAATGTTATTAATGTTTAACTAATAGTAATACCGAAAATTAACCAAAAGATTTACAGATTGGCACTGCCCTCTCGTGGCACTATTAGCGCAGTACAGTAGCCTTAAACAATGTATGCATGTATGTTTGTATGTTTGAATGTTTGCATGTATGTATTTATTTAATTAGTTAGTTAGTTAGTTTTAGATTATTGCTATTATTCGCTATAATTCAACAAAGTTTCTAAGGAACTGCTTCTACAGGCCAATGGAAAACGAGTTCTTAGAAAAAGTGAATCATACTAAATCGTTGTCTCACACTTCTTCACATATTCACATATTATCTTTTCTCACCACTGGATCGTGTCTCTCTCTTTGTGCTCCTTCTTTAACCCGGGCGCTGTCAGGACATGCTCTGTACTCTGTCTCTGGGTGTGTCTTCGGGTGTGCTACAGCTTATAAATCATGACTCATAATCTCTTTATGTAGACTGTACAACGGTATATTTCTCACTCAGGACAAGTCTACTTTTAACCAAAGTTGACAGGCATAGCCAGAGTTGTTTTCTATAAGTGACAGAGGCAAACAGAGATTTATTTAGGGCAGGTAGAATAAACATTAAATTCTACTTAAAAATTACTACTTTTTTTTTTACTTTTTAAACTTTATTTTCCTTTAAATGTGCACAAATTTAGGCTGGAACAGTATTTCTGTTTATTAGACATGACTGACAGAAGATGAACTCAGATCAAAAATTGAAAATGTACTGACCAGTTTAGGGCAAAATGAAAATGTCAACACAGTTTAACTCCAGGAAGTAAGCACTCACGTACTGACTGAACATAAATGTAATTATGGTCGGTACCAAACTAGTCTGCAGTCTGTATAGCGGTATATAGTTTCAGATTGAATGAATGCTGATTCAGTGTCAAAATATTAGGGAGTCAACAAGCACAAGGCTAAAGAATACATACATTTTTTATTAGCATTATTATTGCATTATAAAACATGACAAAGTATTAAAAAATAAATCCCAAGCATCCAAACATGTAGTTAGTGTTAAAAAAAGTTTGAGAAAAGTGTTAGAGTTACATTTTATATTGCTCCCTTTAGACATATGGCATTAACAATGCAATATAAAGTCACAATATTCATGAAATTATATCCTCATCATATTACCATAACCTTAGTAATAATTAAACCCTTGTTTTCAGACAGTACAAGAAAATCTCTTAGCTAAATATACAGTCCAGTATCATTCTGTGCTCCATTGCTTTGTTTCTCAACTTGACAACAGCAACAATTACAAATTATTACTTTTATAACATATTTAGGTTATTTGCAACCTGTGCAAAGTTCTATTTAGTTCGGATTCTTTCTGAGATACAGAACATATTACATTCATTTGCTTAAGTGCACTTGTGAATGTATGAGAGTAAATGGAATATTTTAGTTTGTTTAGAAAATAGTGTTTTAACCAAATATAGAGATTTGTACAAAAGAGATAAGACATTTTGTCACAGTCTACATCCTTTTTGCTTCTCTGATGCAGAATTTCCACTGTGAGTGCAGAGCCAAACACTTCACAATCTTTGGTGACATGGTCCAGTGTCAAAATGTCAAATGATCAACAACATCCAGCTCATCAGAATAAAGTTTTAGAGGGAGTATGTTGGAGCCATTTACTCAGAGGAGTAGATGTATTTGGTCTTGGCCAGACCGGTCAGCTCATCTTCATAACGAGGCAGGCAGCAGAAGAGGATGGCACAGCCAAGGGACAGTAGAGTGGCCCCCCAACCGAAACCATAGGCCCAGTTGAAGTAATAATGGCCTTCGAAGATCAGGTCCTGGAACCTAACTGGGTATATGATGAGAGCAATGACCTGCAGAATCACTGTAGGACAAACAATCAGGAGTTAGACTGGGTATGTACGGTAAATTACAGACATATAGCTTAGAACATCCTTCTTATGTGTGCCAAATAAAATACCATTAAGGCCAAAGGCCATTAATGGTCAAAGAGCTCAAAAATTGACATGCTGACATCTGGGTGAGTCAGAGTTGCACCCACAGGGTGCAGATGTTAGTGACTTAACACTTAACAGTGTTTCTTGAGAAAGGCGTGGTTGAAATTTGCATTTTGTCGCTAGCCCAATGACAATTACATGATTCACGTTCTCATGAAAGGTAGGGCAGTAAAATATGTAATGACTTGTGTATGCAAGCATAATGTTTATTTTAATATGGTTAATACACAAATTTCTGAAGAATCAGTCACCAGTGGCCAATTCAGTCTGTTTTTCATGTCAACAATAATTGGAACTGTAGAAATAACATATCAGGTATCGTAGTCAACAGAATGTGTCTAATTGAGTGAGTGAAACTGTGTGTGGCTGATCCAGCCACATATCTGCCCTTGCCCAGCAGTTGCCATAGTGATGTCACACAAAAAACACTGTCCCCCCTTTTGCACCCACAGTACAATGGTCTGACTTCACCTCTTTAACCCCACTCTCAGACTACCACACCTTATGAGTTGTTCAACCAACTGTAATTTCTTGAATAATTTGCAGAAGATGTTCCTCATGTTCCATGCAAGTTCATCCAAACATACCAACAATGATAAGCAGAACTCCAATGAGGTACAGGAGGCTGGTGTTGACAGTTTTGCACAGAGCAATGCAGGAGATGATGAAGGCTATGATGAGGATGATGAGTCCAATCACCATGAGAGCAGCTACAGCCTGGGCCCAAGCTAAAGAAATGGCACAACATTATTATGCATTGATTAATAATATATTACCTAATCATATTGCTTTGTATTGCTATTTATTTTACTATTGCTGTCAAATCAGGACCTTGTTGCAATACTGAAAACAAGAGGGTTATATAAAGTATTAAAAATGATGTACTAATACTACAATACTACTACGACACTAAAACTAGTATCAGAACTAGATAGTATAGATGCAAAATAAAACAATGTTAGGCCTTCCCGGAACAGTTTTAGAATCATTAAATTAGATCATACACTAAAGCCCAATAAGATGAACATAGTAACTTCTCTGCTAGAATGTGCATTCTTAAACTAAATATGCATTCTAATCTACATAAACCCACTTTCCTTGATGATACAGTACCAAAGACAAAGGTAGACCCCTGTGTGTTACTGGATCAGTCCCCAAGATGAATAATTCACATTTTCTTGCATTAAGGTGTGTGCATGTTTCTCCACCTGCTCATGCCTCCAGCAAACCTAATACACACCTGACTAGTTCAACTGGTTCTTGGTTTACAGTCTCTCTGTGGCAAACAAAACACATGCCACTGTAAAACAACTGCTCAGTTTTCTAGAGAAATTCGTAGTAATGTAGCAATGAATCATGCACATAGATCTTGATTATCTTTGCACATGATTCTACTGAAATTACCATCTCCCTTTTTTCAAACAATGGTTCAGGCATTTTAAACATTTCAAACGGGGCAGTTAACTGTGATTTGATTTATTTTTTAAATATTTTTTGTTATAAGTCTTCTAGAGTCTAGTTTAATCTTTCAGCTAATTACACACACTATGGCCTTGAATAAAAACATGTTCATTCTTGCCATTGCCGTTTATGGGAAAAGAATTTGCTCAGTTGCACAGGAAGCAGCCTCCAAATGTTTAGTTGGTGAAGAGCCAAAAATACATGGTCTCTTCCATCATAGGCCATTATGCAAATGTTTGTGGTCGACTTGTGAGTATTCTTTTAAAGAGTGTTGCAGCTTTGGAAATCTAAAGATTATTCACATAAATGTGTGTTCACTAGACAGAATACAAGACTACTCTACCCGAGATAAGCCAACAATAATGCAATTGTTTGGGTCTGCTGGGGTATGAAATACAACTTGAGAACTTCCAAGGCACGTAGGCTATTTCAGAAAGGTCTCCTACTTTTGTGATCCTAAAAATTAATGGTAGGAATTTCCAGCTAAAACTATATAATGGAATATATCTAACTAAAATATAAAGAGAGATCAACATGGTGATTGTTAGGCCAAAGTTCAGTGAGTAGGCCTCCACCTCCCAGTAACTAGTACTTTTTGGGATCTGCTGGAGGTCGCGTCTTTCACATAAGTATGTTAAATATTACGCCCTTCAGAGACATCCAGTGACTCCTGCCCTTACACCAGACATATGAAGTCAATAATAATGGCCGTATATCACGTAATAAGTGGCTGCTGTAGTCTATTCTGTAGCCTAACTTACAGTACTCCATGAGCGTCTTGCAGCTCCACTCGTTGTTTCTTCCACGGCAGTGTTCCCACATACTGGCGTAGTGAGACTTCGCGTCCTCGTCCTCGACCCATCCCGACGTAGCGGCAATGGCGATTATGTCAAAAATAATGGCGAAGACCAACAGCAGGGGCACGATCCACCTGCATCTGGGATAGGCGATACCACAGCGAAACATGTTCGAGTCTCGGTGATCTTGATGTGGAGTTGAAAGGACGAGGAAACAAGAACAAGCAGAGGATAAGTGTTTGGAAAGTAGTCTGCCGCTCACAGCCCTCCGTGCGTATTTACGCAGAGGAAAAGTCCGTGACTAACTGATAAGCCAAGCTCCACCCGAACCTGAAACGCTCGTCTGAAAACAGTGAGAGGTGTATGTCACGCAAGCCCAACCCCAAATGTGTCATATTACATTCACACAGACACAAGGTAATCTATTCTGCAGTGTGAACGTCCTGGTTTAGCTAGAGGTTTTGGACACACGCACCTAATTAGTGCCAATAAACTGAATCGGAGCAATGTATGGACACCCAAGTCAATAAACTGATAAGAAACACAAAGATAAAAGTCAAGAATTGTATTTTTCAAATGACCAGTAGGTGGCAGTCAAATCCTGTGCAATTAAAGTGTACAGAGGTTAGAATAGTAGTATATTAACTAGTAAGGACCAACTACTGTCTTCGCTCCACTTTTGGCCATTTAGGTTGGTATTAGTAGGAACAGATTAATGTCTTAAGTGCATGGCTTATGTAACCTTGTCAGTAGAGATTTTATTTCATGGAATGGACTCAACTTTTATATGTACAAAAGTCAGCATTCTTAGTGTGAGTCGGCTTGGAGGAAGACTAAATTCACTCCATTGTGTGGAATATTTTAAGCAAAACAATAACGGAAAAGTTACATTTAGTGCACTTTTGGACTTACTTAATGGTAACCATTATCATAATTTTTCCCTTTAGTAAGTTGCTTTTCTTAATATTAGTTTAGTATTTAATTCTGTTTTACTTTTCTGTTAGTTAATAGTTGTCATGTATGTATGATGTAACAAAATTGCTCAGTGTGTCAGTGTGTACTACTAGTAGTAGTAGTAGTAGTAGTAGTAGTAGTAGTAGTAGTGATAGTGGGAGTAGTGGTTGGTAGCAGTTGTGAGTTTAGTGAGTTGCAGCACTAATGGAATACTTGTCTTTAGTACAATCTTCACTAATTGTGAACTACACACGGCAGGCCTCTCGCCAAATCACAAGTGATTCGAATAATTTATTCTTAAAGGTGTGCTATGTAACTTTTAAATGTTATTCCAGAAAATGGAGAAACATAAACCTAAACATAGTGCTCCTTTAATGTATGATCAGCTTTGTCCCCACAAACATACAGTTATGTACTACCCTGAGGAAAAGTTTACCTTGACAGAGTTATAATGATAATATACAGTACTTACATATGTATGTAAACAAATAACATGAACTCTTTTGCTGTGTGCACTTAGAAGTAAAATTACACAATTCACATGGAGGCATGGACAGATATGAAAAAATGCACTGTGACACTCAAGGTCTAAGTGCTGTTAAGATTACTGAGGAAGTAACATGCTCAAAATGTACTTTATATCAAACAATAGCCTACAATTTATTACAATAAGCACCTATTTAAAAGGTCTTCAGGCCATTCTTATGTCTGGCCTTCAACCTTCCCATATGTGTGATCTGATAATAAATCATTTTTCTTACTAATAGCTCAATGATGGAGACTTATTTTGGGGTTATTTTCCTTACCTTACCCTACATTTTATGCGTGCTTCTCACCTAGCAAGATTCAATCAATCAATCAAACTTTATTTATAAAGCACTTTTCATACAAAAATGTAACACAAAGTGCTTTACACAGATTAAAAACAATCCCACATTTCCACCCACCCACCCACTAACCCAACCCCCACAGCTGCCCAACTCGACACAACCAAACATCACAGACACCCAAACACCCAACCCCCCCCCCCCCCCCCCCCCCACACACACACACACATTAACCTGCTAAAATACATAAAATGACACATAGTAAAATGTGAGGCTGAATACAGGCGAACCAGTTGAGAAAGCATCATCAGAGGAGCCGTCTACATCAGGAGCAGAGAGACGTCCACCACCACCAGGAACCACCACAGGAGCCAGGGGAGAGATGAAGCCCAAGCTCCAACTCTCCACCAGGAGCCCACGGGACAGACCCGACAGCTACAGCCGACCTCTGCTCCTGATGCAGAGGCTCCTACAGAGGAAACACTGCATATCCTAAAAATAAGTCTAAAATAAATAAATATAAATTAAAATGTGTATAGTAGAAACAAGTAAAAAATATGATATTTCATTCAAAAGCTAAGCTAAAAAGGTGGGTCTTGAGCCTGCTCTTAAAAACATGAACGTTCTCTGCAGCCCTGAGCTCCTCCGGCAGGCAGTTCCATAGACGAGGGCCACAGTACTGAAAAGACGCCTCTCCGTGAGTGTGTGTGTCCTGACTTTGGGAATGACAAGGAGCCTGCTGCCGGAGGAGCGCAGGGTCCGCGAGGGTTCGTAAGGTAAAAGGAGTTCTGAAAGATAAGAAGGCCCAAGACCATTAAGACATTTAAAAACCAGTAAAAGAACTTTAAAATCGATCCTGAAACTCACAGGGAGCCAATGCAGTGATTTTAAAACCGGTGTAATGTGGTCCCGCCCTCTGGTCCTCGTCAGGACACGCGCTGCTGAATTTTGTAGTAATTGTAAACCTGAAATACTCTTTTTGGGAAGACCAGAGAGCAGGGCATTACAGTAGTCTATTCGACTGGTGATAAAAGCATGCATCAGCGTCTCGGTGTTGGCCAGAGAGAGAATGGGGCGGACTCTGGCTATGTTTTTTAAGTGATAGAAACCAATTTTTGTAATGTTCTTAATGTGTGGAATAAAAGTCAGCTCAGAGTCAATAATGACGCCCAGGTTTTTCACTTGTGGAGAAGGGTTAAAAGACTGTGTTTGTAGTTTGGGTAAAAGTTTCTCTCTCTGGGCCTCAGGACCAATGACTAAAACCTCAGTTTTGTCCTGGTTAAGCTGGAGAAAGTTTTCTGCCATCCAGGATTTGATATCTAGAATGCAGTTAAAAAGAGCATCCATTGGTCTGGTGTCATCAGGAGACATGGAGATGTAAAGCTGCGTATCATCTGCGTAGCTGTGGAAGTTGATTCCATGTCTCCTGATGACACCACCAAGAGGGAGCATGTACAAATTAAAAAGCACAGGGCCAAAAATGGAGCCCTGGGGCACACCACATGTGATTTTATGGACCCTGGAGGAGCATGTGTCTACACTCACCATAAATGTTCTGTCTGTGAGGTAGGATGTGAACCATCTGTGAACAGCACCGGAGAGGCCGAGGTCTTTTAGGCGAGTTAAAAGAATAGTGTGGTCTACTGTATCAAAGGCAGTGCTCAGATCCAGTAGAACCAACACGGTCACCTTTTGTGAATCACAATTTATTCTAAAATCATTTAAAATCTTTGCCAAGGCGGTCTCGGTGCTGTGGTTCACCCTAAAACCAGACTGAAATTTTTCCAAAATGTTATGATCATCTAAAAAATAATTTAGTTGAATAAAAACAAGTTATTTTAAAATTTTGCTTAAAAATGGTAGGTTAGACACTGGTCGGTAGTTGTTAAAATCATTAAAATCTAAATTGCTCTTCTTCAGCAGGGTCCTCACCACTGCAGTTTTGAAGGCAGAGGGAAAGACCCCCGTCTGAAGAGAGCAATTCATCATGGTTAAAAGCTCATCCCTAAAAGATCCATAAAATGACTTAAAAATGGGGTAGGAATCGGATCTAAAAGACATGTGGTGGGCCTCACTGAGGAGAAAACTTTGTCAAGCATCTCAGCATTAACCAGGACAAAACTGTCCAGTGTTTCCTCTGGTCTAGACAAACACCCAGATGTACTAAAAACAGAGCTTTGACAAGATAAAATATCACATCTGATAGTGTTTATCTTACCCATGAAGTGGTCTGCAAACTGCTCACAGAGAGAGTCAGTGGGCGTTAAGTAAAACGTGCTAAAATCAGGGTTTAAAATGTTGTCGATGGTTGAAAAAAGAACTTTTGGATTATTTTTGTTATTGGTTATTAATGTAGAAAAGTAATGGTTTCTTGTGTTTCTTATTGCGTTGTTGTAAGTCCGTTGTTGATCACTAAATAATTGATAGTTTATTGTAGTTTTGTTTTTTCTCCATCTACGTTCTGCCCTCCTGCACTCTCTTGGATTTTTTCAGCTCTTCATTTCTCCATGGGGGTTTTAGCTTAGTTTTGATGTTTTTAGTTTTGAGTGGAGCAACCAGATCCAGAGCTGACCGTAGTCTACTGTTAAAATGGTCAGTGATAAAATCGCAAGGGGCAGGTAAAACCACTGGGGGATTTTTATTTAAAACTTCGATAAAATTTGCAGCCACTTCAGGGGTCAGACGGCGCTTCCTCACAGTTCTCACAGAGGTCTCCCGGTGTATAAAACCAGTGATGTTAAAAAACGATTGTTTAACTTGCAGATAATCAGATAATATCTGCGCAGAGAACACTTATGTATATGTATATGAAATCCTCTAGCACCACCCACAGGTCAAATAGAACTTTTAAACATAGCGTCCTGCTACACTTCCAGAAATTTGGCAGCAAATACACAAAAGAACATCACACTGAAAAAAGGAACTTGTAAGATTTACTAGAAAAATCACACAACCACGTCACAATTTGCACTAGCACTTTTAAAGTAAGTCATGAATTTACTGAGTAATTGTTACTCTTTTTTTTTTTTTTTTTTAAGTTAGAAGTCATATTTATGTAAATAAATTAAGTAAAATATATAAAATATTGTCATAATTAATTGCATTGCTGTGAGTAATTAAGTAAATATTATATGTGTAGTAAATACTACACTTATGTACCATAAATGGTAAATGGTTACATTTTTATTTAGCGCTTTTCCAGCTTCCAGGTTCAAAGTGCTTTACAAGCACAACAAGGAACCACCCTGATGTAACGGCTAACCCTATGTCCTGTCAATCATCATATCATTATTGCACTGCCTTCCTATGACCTCTTGTATTAAGCTGGGATTTTATATTTTATTACTTATCTTTCTATTTTATTGACTTGTACATATACATTTATATAATTATGTGTTATTTGACACCTGTCTCTTTCTGTCTTTTTTGGTACTTATTTAGAATTGATTATTACATTTATGTTTTTTTTTTCCTCAGTTATTATATTATGTTGTGATGTGTGAGCTACTGTGTCCAAATAATTTCCCTAGTGGATCAATAAAGTTTGTCTAAGTGTCTAAGTC